ATTATTTCCTCATGCAACAGAGAGTCTCCTTGAATCAACAGTTCAGACAAACTGCATCTGTATACTACGTATAAAGCAATCTTCTATAATTAATAGATTGTAACTCATAATCTCCTCTAATTTGTCTGTTGAGCTATTACCCTAAACATGCAAAAATCATACATTTGGAGAAGATTTAGAATATTTAAGAGATTCTGCATTAGTACCAATACATTGGCTAGATTCTTACATGATGTTTAATCCTACACAACAAAGTAAGTGTGGTAATGGACACTTCACATTATGCATTAAGTTGTATTTGTTGCCTGGAATCTTCTGGATGCATTTAAGGTGTTGGTCATCACCAAAAATCCCTACAGTACATGGCATAGTTGATTATCAATCTGGTTATTTGAGGGACCACATATCTCCAATTACATCTGCCCATACAAACTGAGTGGGTGCAATCCCCCCCCCCCGAGCTATGGACAGCACCCACTATTCTGGGGATTCAGAAGATCTAGCTTGGTTCTCAGATCTGGAGCTAATGTGTTTGTGGGACCCATCATATTTATACTGCTTACTGTTCTGACTGTATTAGTCATAATTACCTGCTTATGTGTGTTTTTAATCATTTTTTTAAAAGTAAGCTGCCCAGAGTCTAACATAGTGGGCAACCACAACAAATTTAGTAAATTGAATAGAATAGCACTTAATATGCTAAACATACAAACTTATATTATTTCTCAATGTGCTGAAGTGGTTCACCCAAGATGCTAATTCAATGTCTAGGTTTCTGTCTAAAAACACTATCTAACCTCATGTTAGCTTAGAATGTCGTATGAACCAAGCCACTGCAATTTCGTTTACGCTAAGTGGATGACCAGTTATAGTGGGCATATGAAATTTCTGTAGAAAAACTGGAAGGGGATTTTTTTAGGACTTTTAAATCCACATTGCAAAGATCTGACTAACCATACAGTGTTAGCAAAGAAGTATAGAAATGTGAAATTCTTGGTGCTCTCTGAAGGTAATTGTCCACTTACAGATGTTTCATTATGTGACTAGGTAACACAGTCAGTGCAAGTGAGTGTGAGGTTTGTTCCTTGTTTACTATACAACAGCTTTCCCTGCCAGTGTTGGGGGGGGTGTGGTTTTCTCCTTGGTAGTTTCTTGATGAGAGGATGCTTGACTGTTTGTTTGGTGTTTGCTTGGTGTTATTTGGGTGTAGGTTGCTGAAGAGGATGTGTTCAGGTCTTGTTTCTTCCTTAGCTTTTTTTTTATTGTTTCTTTTTAATGTTGTGTAAATGTAAAAACTAAGAAGGAAACAAACAGACCAGAACACATTCTCTCCAGCAGCCTACACCCAGATAAGCAGAGATTAATACTATAGACAAACAATGAAGCAGAAAAGAATACCCCAATCAAGGAATTACCAAGGAGACAACTACACACACTTATCCAACAGTTGTAGGGCAAACTACTGTAGATAAAGAGAGAGCAAACTCCACAGTCATTAGCACCAATAATGATACCTAGTCAGATAATGAAGCAACAAAGCCCAGAGGGCACCAAGGCTTCTCCATAGTTCAACCCTGAGCAACATATATTCTCTTCTGTTGGAAAATATTAATTCTTTGATGCCATTTTGTAGTTGTCTGCTATATTTCATATATGCTCTATTTGTGCACCTTTCCAAGATTAATCCCTGTAGAAAAGGATATTGAACTCAAAAGATGGATAGCTTTTATGCTTATGACTTGAGAAAAAGGGACACCTTTTTCTTTCTAAGAATGCATAATATCTCTCCTTATGCACCAGTGATTACCGTCTTTATATTCATTGCATTTATATGCTCCTCATAGCTACAAGTTAGCCAGCTACATTACTGTACTATTGAACAGTTTGAAAGATACCCTAAAGTTCCATTTTTTCTTTAGAAAACATGACTACATGTGACAAATTAGTCTTTGGCAGGCTTTATGGTTCTTCAAAGCAATTATTTAGTTTTTATTTGCTTCTTGGTATTATTAGATTAAATCCTTCTTTCCAACATCTAATTTCATCATTATAACTGAGACCTTACTGTATAATGCAGTGGTTCTTAACCTGGGCGATATCACCCCCCAGGGGGCGATTTCATTTTTCAGGGGGGCGATGGAATGAAAAGGAGCGACGCGGGGACGAAGGAACAAAAAGGGGGCGATATGGGGGCAATGGAGTTTTGGGGACACTTTTGAGACTATTTCGTACAATGAATCGCTGCATATCTGTCATACAAAAACATCAGATCACTCGCTATTAGTGGATTGAATTGTGTTTTCAAATGTTCCTCCAGCTAGCTTCAGTACAGAACGCCGTACATATGTGAATACGCATCACTTATCTTCATGTGCATTGCGCAGCAGCCTCTACCCTTTTTATATTTCTTTTTGCGTCTTAAATTTCACTTGTAATTCAATCATTAAATGTTACTGTTTTTCTTTTCAGGCATTTCATTTTCTTGCAATTGAATTTTGTTTTCAGTGGTCATTACATTTAAGTGTCTTGAATAAATAAGATAATAATGAAATACATGTATCACGAAGTTTGGGAATAAAGTGACGGGTGGCACCAAAATTTTTCAAACAGTTGAGATATGGGAAAAAGACTGGAAATAAATTATTTGCATTGATATGTCCTGATGACAGTTTTAAAGAAAACAAAAAAAGTGTTTGCATAAATTGAAGAATTATTTCTTATGTTGTGATTGAGAGGTTATGTTGGGGGAGGGGGGCGATGACAACTTCCTCATTGGCTCAAGGTTAAGAACCACTGGTATAATGAACTCAGGAGAAAAGTATGTTTTAAATACAGGTATCAATTTTTTTTCCTGTGGTTTGTGAATTTACTGATCGGATGTGCAGTATGGTTGTGTAATGGTCATAAACATTTCCTATGAATCTACATACACATTAAAGCATTCCAACATAACATAAATATGTTGCCATCTTGCTTCTGTCCCACAAAGTTCTTCAACCATACTGTAGTAAGTGAGCCTTCTGTTGTTAAATAGGCAATGCAAATGTAGCTAACACCTCCAGTTATGTCCACATCAGTTTTAAATTCCAGTTAGTACCAAAATCCCATTCCACATTTGCATATTACATTTAATGGTATCAGATGGGAATAAAGAAGCAGCCCATTCACTCACACAAACAGCCAGGGAAACAGTTATATATGAATATAAATCTCTGCTTTTATATTAAAGATTTACAGCTTAATAAGTCTGTGCACGTTTAAATGCTGGTTGGAAAGAAGTATTTCCAACCTTGAAAGAGTGCAATATCTGCAACTCTCTGCTATTTATTAAAGTAGTCCAGCTTTTTTGCAGGTTTTCATAAGATGCTGCTTTAAGTAATCTATTAGCATCAGTGCAATTGTTAAAGCAGCTACAAATTTTTACCAGACTTGCGTACAAACCTAAAAAAAGACCAGGTTGTTTTAATGAAGAGCAGGTAGATATTATGTTTATGTGACGTCCAAAGTACTTCTGATCATTTTCATACTACACATAACCAAGGCTTTTTTTGTCAGAATGCCCAGAACAGAGTTCCGGCACCTTTTTGGGATGGAACCTTGTAGGGTAGGCAAGGCGGGTTGTATGATGTGTATGAGTTCCGGCATCTTTTTTTTTTTTTTTTTTTTTACAAAAAAGCACTGCACATAGCCCTTCTGCTTAGTTAATCTGTTTATAACATTTTTAATGGAATAGATTTATCAATGCCTTGTTGATATTAAGAAAACTCATTGTTTCAATGCGACACCATGATATCAACACACTATTTTAAAGTGTACCAACGTTGCACAATACTTATAAGCAGGTCTTTTTTTGTCATAGGACGCCCAGAACAGAGTTCCGGCACCTTTTTTGGATGGAACTTTGTAAGGTAGGCAAGGTGGGTTGTATGACATGTGTGAGTTCCGGCACCTTTTTTTTTTTTTTTTTTTACAAAAAAAGCACTGCTTATAAGTGTATTTAATTGCTTTGAAAACATTCTAGTTTTTCCTATTTCTTAGTAAACAGACGACAAATTTCTCCATTAAACTTATCCTCTGGATTGCCTTGAACAAGGAGATAGGCAGCAAAGAAATTTGATAAATAAAATAATTGATAAATATTCCGCATACATGGACTTAAATCACCCCATTCTTCTATTTGCACTTGAACAATGAACTCAGATCTGACTAGAGAATATATACAAATATATCCTTAACGCTTTAGCAACTCCTAACAGAATATACTTCTTGAAACTTTCTCATAGATTCCATACTTCTTGCCAGTTTTTTATCCCCAGAATGACGAGCACTCCCCATCACTCAGACACTTGTACCCAGCTTCACGGATTTTACTTAACTAGCTTAAATCCCTGCTCATTTCTAAAGGGAGCTGTTCTTACTTAAGACCCGACGTCGCGCCGCAGTCCAAAATGCAAGGATGACCTCTAGCCCACTTCAACAACTATTATTATTTTTTAAATCAAAACCGTGGGAAAAGGGGAAAGAAACCACACGGAAACGACTGATCCCAAAAGTTCACAAGAAAAATCCAGCGCAACCCTTTCAGACAGCAAGCAAACTGGGCAGAGAAGCAAGTCCAACGGCGCGAAAAAGGGGCATCTCGGGGATGGATCCCTTCGCCCGCCCGCCCACTCACTCAGTCACCTGAGTCGGAGAGAAGCCGAGCGAGCATCGCGCAGAGCAGCAGCAAGGCTGGAGAGCCGGGCGCCCTCGCCGTGGAAAAATGCCGCCGGAACATCAGGAGTCGTCGAAGGGAGTTTTCAAGAAACGGAGAGCAGGGAGGGAGGGCGCGCGCGCTTTGCGTCCGTGGATCTGTGTGTGTGTGCGCGAGGGCGCCAGTCAGCGGCGTTAACTAAGAAGTTGGCTCGCTCTTCCTTCTTTTATAGTACTCCTCTCTCTCTTTCTGCCCCCCCTCCCGCCCCTCCCCCCGGAAACTCCGGACAGACGGCGGGTGGCTGCCTTAGAGGCTCATTGAATCACTCAGGCGCTGGCTGTGATTCAGGTCTCACGCCCGCGGGCTGCCACCGTGAGGTGAAGCGCTCCTTCTTTGTCGTCCTCGTTCTCTCTCTCTCTCTCTCTCTCTCTCTCGCTCTCTCTTTCCAGGATCCGGGCCAGGTGAGCAGCGGGGGGGGAAGGGAGGAGCGGCCTCGCCTTTTGCACAGGTATCTTAGGGTGGAGACCAGCCGAATTCGGAGGGGAAAAAAGAAGCCGGTGATGGCGGTGAGCCTCAGGCTGGAAGGGGATGAGGGTTGCTCTCTCCCCCTCCTCGCTCCGCCCCGCAGTGCGCGGGAACGAAAGGGCACCAAGGGGGCAGCCATAGATCTCCGTCGCCGTCTAAAGCGGGAGGAGGGGAGAAGAGCTGGGCGAGAGGAAAGGCCAGTGGATAATTACGCTTTTTCTAACAAAGATTAGAGAAACAACCCTTGCTGAAGTCAAGGGGGTGTGCATGAACTATTAAGCCCCATTGATCTCTAGATCAGTTCAGATCCAATCGCACAATTGGAAGCACTCAAAATGGGGGGGGGGTGTTTATCCCCTATCCCTGCCAATGCAACTTAAAAATCAAATGTGTACCTTCGGGTTTTTAATAAAAAGATTTTCCTTATAGCACATTGGTTCACTCTTGATCTTTAGGGATGAGCTATACCGGTAGCTTCAGGGCAAAAATATGAATGTTGCTTTCCCGTAAGAACTCTCAAATCGCAGGGCGTGGAGAGGTAACAGTTATAAATCTGACAAAGTTTAAGATGCTGAGGTCAAGTTAAAAAAACGGCAGGATTGTCTGACATCCATGTAGGGATGATGTTTCAAGTACAGTAACCTCGTCAGTTTCATGAGATCCAGATGCCTGCACCATAACTACTGTATCATCAGCTCCACATAAAAAATATAAGCAGCTGTAACCTGTAATTTGATGGTTCCTTTGAATGGGTCCCATGTAAAACTCACAGATTTTATCAAGACCCACAAAATATACCATTGGCAAAACATACATTACCACCTTCTTTCAAATGCATAGTCTATATGTGTTTGAGATGTAAATTAGGACCAGTGTCAGATATTTTTTTTCCATTTAGCTTCTCAGGAACTACTGTACCGCAATAATTTGTTTGTATTTAGAGATTTACAGCATTGTGTTGCATTTGGATCCTGGAGAAAGTTGCACAGATTTAATTTATCTTTGAAATGTAGCTTCAATAAAGAAGGCATCTTGCTAAGAGAAAAAAGGAGGTAATGTAAGAAAATTCTTAACGTATTTTTCTTACCTCCACTAAATTAATTACAATACTTCTGGGGAAAGAAAGAAGGTTAGAAGAATTTCTTGAGAGTACTAATTATGTTAAAACAGCGGGTAATGCTATATGTTTATATTGTGGTATTTATCCAGCTTCTTCTAACTGTAGATACCTGACACACACTGAGCTAAAGCATGATTGATCAGTATACAGCTTAGTTTGTGCAAAGTCTGTCAGCATGGTTAGTTTATGGTTCGGTATGCTCTATGAACTCAAGCAGTTGGGCTAATTTAGCAAATCACATTTTAATTAATCATGGATTAGTTAGTATCTTGTTTACCTGTAGCTCCAGATTCATGTTTTCAAGATTTCATATTTCAATTATAGCAAATAATTTTGCTATACATAGCCTTACATATAATGTAATCCACCTTCAATTTGAAGTTAGGAGTGGTATAACAAGATGACACTAGATTTCATTATAGGAAACCAGGATTCATATCTGTGTAAGATTTAATCTCTCTCTCTCTCTCCCTCCCTCTCTCTCTCTCTCTCTCTCTCTCTCTCTCTCTCTCTCTCTTGGTCCAAAGATGGAGAGAAGAACCTTAGCATACTTGTGCCGACTGTACTGATTTCCTGAAGACAAAACTAAAGAAAGACAAGATCTGCTGTTTTTGTTTTGTTTTGTTTTTTTGCATTGTTGCTACTTTTGTATATGTGTGATACAAAAATATGTTCAATATTTATTAAACAACAAATATTTATATGTCCAATAATTATTGAACAATCCCTATTTTGTATTTTCCCCTCTGCAACTACTATAGAATATAGGGCAAAAATGTGGCTGCTTTAAAGAAGTGCGGGAAAGTGGTACTTGCCCCTCCCCCCATGCTCCAAAGGACATGTCTAAAATCAAATCTGAAGTGATGTATAGCTATAGTATCTATAATAAAGTAATTTCTATTTCAACTCAAACTTGATTTTGAGAGATGACAACAAAATAAAAATGATTTGCTATTTCCTTACTCCATGGTTTTTTATGTGCGGTTTTGGGTTGCTTGCTTGCTTTTGAACATCTTACTCTAGCCTATTTCTTGATGGTGTCTCATGCAAATAGTATGTAGGTCTAACTCTAGTTTACCTTTCTGAGAATTCATGTGATGCTAAACCTGCTGATGGCAGAGATATTGTCGGATAGCAAACAACATCATTGGGTGTTTAAATTCTATTGAATAGTGTGCAGATAATGTCTGATGATGCCCTTTTACAAATATACATCTGAAATATGAGTGAGTTAGCAACAGAAGGAGAAAACATTCTATATATTAATATTTGGAATAAAATGTGATTATGTTAATAAGACAGTAAATCTAAGTTGAAAAGATGTTCAAGAGATCATGCAATTCCTTGTGCCTCCATAAAAACTGGCTTAGGTAATACTGTAAGACAGATCTGTTTTGCAGAGGGCAACATTATTGGCCATTCACTATTACTATATCCTTTCCATCAGAAGCTTTTTTTGGTCACTGTTGACACCTGCCAACCGCCTTGACTAGTCCCTGCAGTTTTTTTTGATAAGATTGTTTGGAAAGTAATGTGCCATTGCCTGCTTCCTAGGACTGAGTGAGAGTGACTGGCTCAAAGTCACCCGGCTGATTTCGTGTCTAACGAAGGACTAGAACTCACGGTCCCCCAGTTTCTAACTTGGTGCTTTAACCACTATACCAAAATGACTCTGTAATTACTTTGTTTAAAAGGGGTTAAAAGAAAAGATACTGTTTTTGGAAATTAATTGATACATCAGAAACAAGAAAAGTAAATTAAATGGTATGTTAATTTTTGATCCATTGAGTAGGAAAACACTACAAGAAATCACTTTTTCCCTTGACTTTTCATCACAATCTTGTCGTGGAGGTCATTCTTGATATAAAAGCTCCTGCACATGTTGTTGCCTCTCAACAGCACCTTTTTTTTGCTTTGGCTTAGAACAAGTTTTGACAGACTTGAACACTGGGTGCTATCTAACAAAATGAAATTCAGTGGTGAAAAAGGCAAGGTTCTACATTTAGGCAAGAAAAACCAAATGTATAGGTATAATATAAGGGTACCTTGCTCAATAGTAATAATTGTGAGAGGGATCTTGGAGTCCTAGTGGACAATCACTTAAATATGAGCCAGCAGTGTGCTGCAGCTGCCAAAAAAGCCAACACAGTGCTAGGCTGCATTAACAGAGGGATAGAGTCAAGATCACATGAAGTATTAATACCACTTTACAATGCCTTGGTAAGGCCACGCTTGGAATACTGCATCCAGTTTTGGTCACCACGATGTAAAAAAGATGCTGAGACTCTAGAAAGAGTACAGAGAAGAGCAACAAAGATGGTTAGGGGACTGGAGGCTAAAACATATAAGGAACGGTTGCTAGAATTGGGTATGTCTAGTTTAATGAAGAGAAAGACGAGGGAGGACATGATAGCAGTGTTCCAATATCTCAGAGGCTGCCACAAAGAAGAGAGAGTCAAGCTATTTTCCAAAGCACCTGAAGGCAAGACAAAAAGCAACAGATGGAAACTAATCAAGGAAAGAAGCAACCTAGAACTAAGGAGAAACTTCCTGACAGTTAGAACAATTAACCAGTGGAACAACCTGCCTTCAGAAGCAGTGAATGCTCCAACATTGGAAGTTTTTAAGAAGAGACTGGACAGCTATTTGTCTGAAATGGTATAGGGTTTTCTGCCTGAGCAGGGGGTTGGACTAGATGACCTCCAAGGTGACTTCCAACTTTATTATTATTATTATAGGTTTTCCCCAACTTTCATACCTCATTGGCAGATGGGACTGCAATTCTTGTCATTCCCAATCCACACCACTCCTGCAGGCTAGAAACTTGGAAACAATTCCGAAACAAATTTGGAAGATACCAGCTTAGGAGGGAGGGGATCTGGTTTAGAGAGATGGCATACATCAGAGTTTTTCAAACTTCAGGGAATTCTGGGAGTTGACCACACATCTTACAATTGCCAAGTTTTAAAAACACGGAGGCACACCAATAGTGAAAAGGTTAAAAGTTCCTCAAAATGCGGGTGGCACATTTGATACAAAAGCATGTTGAATGAAAAGCAGCACGAGAGTTCCAGAGCCTATTATTAGAAGCCCCAGTGAGCTTTTTTCCTAAACATATCACATTTGCCTTTGAAAAGTAGGATTCCTGGTTTCTATTCAAAGCTCTGACCATTTAACTTGATGCTTATTCTGCAGTGGGAATGATTATGGATGGGAAAAGAAGTAAGGGCTCTTGACTATTATCATTGTGTGGTAGAAAGACTCCACAAAGCAACTTACCCCATTGCAACTTGGAAAGCTGCAACATTTAAAGAAATTGATTTAAGGCAAAGAAATACAGTTTTATTTTCTCCCTCCTGATTTAGAGGGCGTGACAGTAGCCATCTTCAAAATAAAACCTAGGTTTCAGAAATTATGCGAAAGCAAGCAAACTCACCTTTCCATGAAAATATGGCTTTCAACTGCATATTGTTTTATTTTATTATTTCCACTGAAACGGTAGGAACTCAGTTATAGAAGCTCTTAAAGGAAATAATTATTTTGATCCCTTTCAGACAAAATACTATCTCCAGGGATTGGAAATCTGTCAGATTCCTTGTGTGTGTTTTTAATTGTTGTCATGTGCAAATGTTCAGGTACTGCAAAAAATCCTTATGAACAAGATTACATGATATGTAATCTTAATTTATTACTTAACTTATGCAACTTAATATGTGCATTAGAATAGGAAATCTCAATCTAACATTTAAAAACATCTAAAAAGCATCACTTAATATTTAATGGCCTTAGCCTAATTTTAAATCCTCCAGCTATCCTGGGCTTCAGCTCTCATTATCTCTGTTCCACAATATCTGGAGAACATCAGTTCAAAGAAAGGGGCCACTGAACATATGGGAAAGGTGAGGGACAAAAACTTTGGGGTAACTACAGTATATGAAGATTGTATGAGCTCCAATTTGGAAAAACATTAGCTAATTACATTTCAGTTTCTGGAAAATGTGGGAGGAAAAAGGAGGATAGTAAACCCTAGTTGTCTGCCTGAAACTCCTTTGAAGTACTTCATGTTTGTTCTTGATCTGCTAGTTCAGCACATAGTTGGTGTAAGTTCCTTTAAATAGTCAGCTCTTTGTAATCCACTAAGAGAATAATATGTAAATTAATTTTTATTGGCACGCAATGTCAGTCATGTTCTGATCAAGTAGTCTACAATTTCAACATAATTCGAAATTAATTAATTTAATTTAGGTTGAATTTTATTTTGTTATTAATGGTCCTGTGTACAAATCCAGATTCAAATATCAAAATGTGATTTGTAGCACAGATTAGCACCTGTCATGAATACGGTATGTCTGCTTTAAGGTGTTCCCAATAGGTGCTATGTGTGCATTCCATGAATTTTGAATCTAAAAGACTCTGTTAGCTAAATATTTATATTTCCTACTTTGCTTCATCAGTCTGGCTAATAAATTGTTTCAATGCACTATAACTTTGATTCAAACTTCTTATTTTGCAAATCCTCAAGCAGCTTTTCAACTTTTGCAACAGTGAATGGAACATTTCCACAGTACAAGGAAGATCCAGGGGCTTTTGCCCACCCTTTCCAATCACTTTGTACCCTGTCTGAGGTTCCCCAGACTTTGGGGTTCTCTGGAAAACTGGGGGCTCTTTAGGGGCTCTCTTTTTAGCAGACAGAATATATCTGTTCTTGGGAACAAACTCTCTGTCCAATCTAATAAAGGCATAGCTGCTATTCTGGGCGCGCCAAGGTACGCCCACGTGTCACCTATCCTCCGCGAGCTGCACTGGCTTCCTGTGGGTCTCCGGACGCAATTCAAGGTGTTGGTCATCACCTTCAGAGCCCTTCATGGCATAGGGCCAGGTTACTTACAGGACCGCATTCTGCCGCACAGCTCCCAGAGACCGGTGAGGTCCCATAGATTGGGCCTCCTTCAGGTCCCGTCGGCCAGACAATGTCGGCTGGCGGGCCCTCGGGGAAGGGCCTTTTCTGTGGTGGCTCCGACCTGGTGGAATCAACTTCCCCCCGAGGTTCGAACTACTCCCACCCTGCCGGCCTTTAAGAAAGCCGTTAAAACTCTCCTGTTCCGGCAGGCCTGGGGCTGATGTCCTCGGCGGGCCGGGATATGATCGGACTCGCGGTATGACTGGATTATTTTATTTTATTGTTTTATGACTGTTTTTAACTTTGTACGCCGCCCTGAGTCCTTTGGGATTGGGCGGCATATAAATATTTGTAAATAAATAAAATAAATAAATAAATTCTATCGTAAAAATTCCATACATTTTTTTAACTTTTTTTTTTACTTTTTTACTTTGCTGCAAATTAGAGAGAAAGAGAGATTTCAACTATGTACTGTTTTCATCAGATTTCAAAGATATGCTGGCTGACTGAATAGATAAATACATTGCATAAGAAAAATAGATTCTAGCGGAGGATTACACAGTTTATTAAAAATATGAATTATGGACAAAGTTTTCAAATACTTATAAATAGCTTTGTGAGAAAAGATTTATTTGGAATTAGAATAGGGTCTTTTGAATGATTGCAAAAATTGATGAGTTTCCTGATATTTCAGCAAGCAGGAACTTGCCGGTTATAGTACTACACGTCAAACCAGAAGTAATGGGAATACAGCTAAAGCAGAACAGTGAGTCAAAGGGCAGAGTTTCTATGCAAGATTTCTCATTGGAAAATTACACAATTTTTCTTCTTTAGCTGAGGAAAACAGAAATGATTAGCATTATGCTTTCACCTTTATTTATCTGGGTTGATATTTAAATTAGAACACTTTGATTTTATAATTCCATTGGTAAAAACAATCTGACTCAAATAGTTTAGTTTTTTTTTTGAATAATGGCTTCTATGTTTTTTTGTTTGTTGAATGTCATAAAACAGAGTTATATGGGAATTACATGAAAGGCTCCAGAAAATAATACAGTATAA